TCTGTCCATGGGATTCTCCAGGCAAGGATACTGGAGTGGGTTTCCAGGCCCTTCTCCAGGGGATCTTCCCAACCCAGGAGTCAAACCCAAGTCTCATGCATTGGCAGGCAGGTTATTTACCACTAGTGCCACCTGGGAAGTTCCCTGGATTAGAGCAGTCGACTCATAATCTCACTGGATTCCTGGATTCTGCTCTGTCCCCCCTGTAATCCTTTCTTTCTCCAAACAGCAGCAGGTGGGATCTTTTCAAACATGTAAATCAGATGTTGCTACAGCTCTAATTAAAGGCTTTCAATGTCTTCCTAGGCTATTCCTCTTTACCATAGCCTGAGGCCGACTCTCTCCCTTTCTTCCACTGTGACCTCAAATCTTCCACTTTCTTCTTCTGTTTTATGTAAAGGTTTATTGATTTAACTTATTGACTGTGCTGGGTCTTCATTGCTGCTCACGGGCTTTTCTCTAGTTGCCACGGGCAGGAGCTACTCTCTAGTTGCAGTGCATGGGCTTCTCATGGCAGGGCTTTTCTTGTGCAGCAAGGGCTCTAGGCGCACAGGCTTCAGTTGGTTATGGTGAGTGCACTCAGTAGTTGTGACTCGCAGGCTCTAAAGAACAGGCTCAATAGCTGCAGCGCACGAGTTTAGCTGTTCCTTGGCATGTGCGATCTTTCCAGACCAGGGATCAAACCTGTGTCCCCTGCTTTGGCAGGCGGATTCTCAACCACTGGGCCACCAGGGAAGTCCTACCACTTCCTTCTTTACTCACTGTGCTTCTTTCACACTTGTTCCCTTTGTGTTCCTTGAAGACCCCATGCCAGAGTCTTTGTGTTTGCTGTTTCTTTTGCATGAAATACCTTTCCCCTCTCCCCTTTGCCTCTGTTTGGGACTTTCTCTTTCTCATCGTTCATGTCTCAGCTGAAATTTCCACTCTGTGGAAAGGTTCCCCCCCCCCGACCACTCACACCATATCTAAAATTACTGTTTTATTACCTCTTTATTTCCCTTAGAAAACTTACCACATTGTGTCCTTATCGTGGTCATTTGTTTATTTGCCTATCATCACTCTCTTCCGGCTTCAAGAGGGCAGAGATCACCATTGTCATGTTATGACTTTGTGCCCTGTGTTTAGAACAGTGCCCGAGACATGATAACCTCTCAACAGATATTTACTGAATGGATATTTATCAATGGATAATGAAGCCATTCTCTCCAAGTCCTGACCCTCTATCTCTACTATCTCTTGAATCTGCTTCTACCATCCATATAAACCACTGGCCTGGTTCCGGCTCCATCAACTCCAACCTGGATTTCCGTGACAATTTCTGACCCAATGGGTCTCCATGTCTCTCTTTTCCTGTCACCATTCTTCACATACTAGTTCTTTTTTTTTAATTTATTTTTAATTGAAGGATAATTGCTTTCAATATTGTGTTGGTCTCTGACATACATCAACATGAATCAGCCATAGGTATATATATGTCCTCTCCCTCTTAAACCTCCCTCCTAACACCCACCCCTTCCCACTGCTTCGGGGTCGTCACAGAGCCCTGTTTGAGCTCCCTGAGTGATACAGCAGATTCCCACTGGCTATCTGTCTCACATATGGCAGTGTATATATTTCCATGCTACTCTCTCCATTCATCCCACCCACACACAACAGTTCCAAAAATAAGGTATTAATATGAAAATCCTTGTCAGATCCTGCCTCAGTACTTCAGCAGCCCCAAGCTACTTGCCAGAAAAATTTCTAGTCTCTCAGGTCACTATTCAAGGCACTCAGTACTCTAGCTCCTGCTGCTGGCATCTTTCTGAACTCCCCACCACCATCACACGCATATGACCACAGACACCTGCCTACAGTCCCCTAACAAGTCAGGGTGTTTTACAAGTTCTCTTTGTGAGACATTCCCACTTCCTAAATTCCTCCTCCTCTGCCCCCATCCACCTAACCCTGCTAGAATACAGCTTAGTCACTCCAGCCCTCTGGAAACCAGCTCTTAGCAGTGTACCCCTTCTCAGGACTTGTCTACCCTCCTACTGATCCATACCTCTCCAAGGCAGGGCCGAGGCTTTTGAGTAGCCTGGTCACACAATGTTGCCAAAAGACATAATTTAGTAGAGAGCACAGACTCTGAAGTCAGGTGAGGTTTGAATCCTTGGGCCACCACTTATCTGTCAAGTGACCTTAAACAGGTCCAAGCTTTGGATTCTTTTTTTTTTTTTTTTGGTCTGTGATGAATCTTTGTTGCTATGTTGCTTGTCTCTAGTTGCAGTGGGTGGGGGCTACTCTCTACTTGCAGTGTGAAGGCTTCTCATTGTGGTGGCTTCTTTTGTTGCAGAGCACGGGCTCTAGGGTGCAAGGCTTCAATAGTTGCCACATGGGCTCAGTAGTTGCTGCTCCCAGGCTCTAGAGCACAGGCTCAATAGTTGTGGTGCACTGGCTTAGTTGCTCCTTGGCATGAGGGATCTTCTTGGATCAGAGATCAAACCTGTGTCTCCTGCATTGGCAGGCAAATTGTTTACCACTGAGCCACCAGGGAGAAGACTCTTGAGAGTCCCTTGGACTGCACAGAGATCAAACCAGTCTAAAGGAAATCAGTCCTGAATATTCATTGGAAGGACTGATGCTGAAGCTGAAACTCCAATACTTTGACCACCTGATACGAGGAGCTGATTCACTGGAAAAGACCGTGATGCTGGGAAAGATTGAAGGCAGGAGGAGAAGGGGACGACAGAGGATGAGATGGTTGGGTGGCATCACCAACACAGTGGACATGAGTTTGAGCAAGCTCTGGGAGTTGATGATGGACAGGGAAGCCTGGAGTGCTGCAGTCCATGGGGTGGCAAAGAGCTGGACATGACTGAGCTGAACTGAACTGAGTCACCAGGGAAGCCCCTAAGCTTTGAATTCTTGATCTGTAAAATGAGGATAAAAATTCTATTTCATGGATGGGTACCTACTTTTGTGAGGATTAAATGAAATATATGTGAAGAGTTTAGTACAGTGAGCAGATATTAGAGGTGTCCTAAGTTCTTTTGAGTGAATGGACAAATGCCAGGATGATGTATTGGAAAACATACCACTTCAGAGGCACTCAATAAACTTTGTTGATCAAATGGCACACATGCAAAGCAGACTCCATTCCTTCCAAGGCCCTAGATTTTCAATGACATCCCACTGCCCTGAGGTTAAAATATAGTCTTTCTGACACCTTCAAGGTCCTCATTGTATGGAGCTCTGTCTTCTTCTCCAGCCTGGTCTCCCTACGCACACACACACACAGTTTCCTGCCTCCATACCATTGCTCACATTGTTCCCTCTGCCTGGAATGCCTGTTCTGTCTCAGTTTTGGTGCCCTTCCTCTATGCATTTACCCTCACATTTAACACATAGTTTCCTCTCTTTACATGCCTTTCTCTTCTGATAAAGGACAAGGACACTTGGTCCTTCTGTTTTCTTCCAGCCATTAGTGTGGGGCCTGACAAATAAAATATTCGTGTTGAAAGAATATGTGTAGTGTGGAGGCAACAACTAGAGGGACAGCATAGGCTGGATGGGGAAAAACTGAGACCAAAGTGGTGATCAGTGGCTCACTCTCAGTAGCAACAGAGATGACTGAATTTCAGAACTGACCTCACTCCCACTCCACCCCCACCATGAGTTGCTTCTATGCAACCACATGAATTCCCCAGGGTCTCTGATCTCAGGCAGGTGGAACCTGAGTTTATAGATACAGGATCTTCTGAGTCCTCAGGCATTGGGTACACCAGCTGCACAGTTCTGCAGGTTGAGGGACTTATACCACGTGGTGGCTTTAAGAGGTTGTTGCCAAGAACACTGACTTTCTCAGTTTTCCCAAGCTGGATTTTCTTTATCCATTTAGATAAAGGAACCCAGGCACAGGTATGAAGAAAAAGTATGACCCCTATCTTCTTTCCCCTTGGTCCTGGAGCTCCAGGCTGCCCTTTTCCATGCTGGCTGGAAGTGACTTGGAAGTGTGAGGGCCAGCAGAAGGCAGTGAAACGGGAGCTGGGTCAACTGGTACAGCTGCTGCTGTGGCAGCCAGAGCCAAAGGAGGTCACCATTGATTCCACCCGCACTTAACTCTTCCTGCAGAGGCATAAGGTACTGGAGGTTGGGATATATAGCCAGTCACCTTTTCTCTGTAGACCTCTGTTTCTCTAAGTGTCAAGTGAGGGCATAAGGTCTAACTAACACCATTATCCTTACATTTCACTTCCCAGCAAGGTTGTCAAGGCTGCAAGATTCACTGCTGGATGGGGGTGGGGGGACCCCTCAGATACAGGAATTAGAGATGGACAGTTCTGAGCAATGCCCAGCGAGGGCAGAACACTGAGACCTCCACCCCCAAAAGAACGCGGGAGTCCAGACTCCCAGCCCCATGTTTGGGATCCGAGCTCCAGGAGCCGCCCTGCCAGGAGATGCCGGGGAGGAGGACCAGGTCGTTGCCACTACCCCAGGGTCAGGGAGGAAAGAAGGAATCTCTTGACTGCCCCCATTTCTGGGCCGTCCAGGCCGGTTAGCCCAGTCTGGCAACCGCAGCCCACTCGGTCAGGAGATCTCGAAGGCAGGAGCAGTCAGCACCTCGGGGGCTCGCTCGGTCTTGCCCCACCCCGGCCCCGCCCTCGGACCCCGCCCGTTCCCCTCGCCTCCGCCTCTGGCCGGAAGCCCCCTCCCCCTCTCCCTCCCCCAGCCGGTCCCCCGCACCCCTTATTCCTTTCCAGTCCCTGTCCTGAGAGAGAGGTCAGGAAAACCTCTCTCCGCCCGGTCCCCTCAGTCTTCCTCCAGCTCGGGTTCCTCCATCCAAGTCCCAAGCCCCCACCGGGCCCCGCCCAGGCTCCTCCCTCGGCCCGGCCCCGGTCCCAGTTTCCCGCCCAGACCGGGGCCTTCAGGCGCCTTTAGTCCCCTCCCCGGACCCCGCCCCCGGCCCCCACGCCCCCCCCGAAGTTTCTTGGGCCCCCGGCAGCCAGCGGGACAGAACGCGCAGAGCCGCCGCCCGGCCGGCGGTTGATGGAGGTATCGGAGACCGCGCGGCGCCGGGAGTGAGCGGCCGAGCGGTCGAGCAGCCGGACCTCAGCGGACGCGTCATGGAAGAGGAGGTGAGGGCCGGGCCAGTCGGGGGGCCTGGTCTGGGGTCTTTGAGACTCTTGTGGCGGTTGGGGTCCCTGGCTCAGGCCCTTGTTCCAGCCAGCCCCTCTCCTGCGGCGGGTCTCCGGACACCCCCACCCACCCTGTCCACCCCAATCCCCCAGGCAGAGCCTAGGCCCGATGAGATGAGGCAGGAGCGGGAGTAAGGGATCGCAGACCCATTCTCCTTCATTATTTCTGTCTTCTCCCACCAACTGTGGTCCTGGTGGTGGTGGTTGTTCCCATTGGACAGATGGGGAGACTGAGGCTCCGGTGAGTTTGATGACTTGCTGAAAGTAGCCTGAGTCGCTGGGCTCGAACCTTTGTTATCACCGACTCCCTGTGCTGTCCACGTCGGATCCTAAAAGGGCACAGTGTGCGTGTGTGTGTGTGTGTTGTGGTGGGTCTGTGGGTTCTGGAGTCCTTGTCTCAAGGAATCTTGAGGCTGTGGCCCTGTCTGGTGGCTGGAGGACAGGAGAAGTTGCGTTTTCTCCCCTAAATCCCTGTAGGTCCTTTATCCCTGGTGGGTCCAGCTTCTTCCCTGACTAAGTGTCAGGCCCTGATCAGGGCTGATCCCTGCCCCTGCCATCCTCACATCCCTGGAGGGCTGATTCCCTGGAGGAGCTGGGCAGCTGGACCAGCAGTGGTCCTTGAGCCTCCCTCATTCCCCTCAGGACCTTCACGTCTGGAGTGTGGTCACGGTCTGTGACCCCCGCCCTTTACTTGCAAACTCACTTCTCTCAGTAGCCCCCTCTTCCAGGCACACTGCCAGCACTTAACGTGTGACTGTGGAATGAATAAACTAGGGAGGAGCCTGCTGAGACTAGAGGATTTTGCTTCTGGTCCCCCAAGGGGGTCTCAGCTTCTGCCCCTCCCAGACTGAGGGGAGGGGCTGTGTCTTTGCCTGAATAGGTGGGGAGGAAAGATGAAACTTCACTCTTGGGGCAACCCTGGCCAGCTGGGGACCAGACTGCCTGTGTCCCCATCCGTGCTCATTTCCTTGCTTCCTGGGACCACTGTTCAGGAGCAGCTGGGGTATCTGTCTGAGTTCCCTTAGGCCAGGCCCTGCACTTCTGTGGGATGGTAGATAAGTCACTTCCCCTCTAAGCCTGCATTTCCTCTTCTATAAAATATTGGGCTGGTCTCCTCCCCAGGTCTTGATTGTAGCCCCTTCTCTCAGAGTGGGTGGAAATAGGGGCACAGTCAGGTCACTATGATTTGCTGTGGTTTCTTGTGGACAGGGGTGGGGCTCTCTTACCCTTGTGAGGGCTGGGCTTCTTCTCTTCCTCTCCTCTTCTCCCAGAGGATGTGGGACAGGACTACTCGATCTCCGATCTGCTCTGGCCACCGCACTCCCCTCAATTAAGGGAAGTTCTCCTGGGGCCTCCTCGTCCAATGGCTTGTCTGGTGGTCAACCCAGCCCTCTACTCCTCTGGTCTTGAATCTCTAACATTGCCATTTCCTAACTCCCAGATGCCAAAAACTCCCTGCATACCTAGGGTATCTAAGGCCTTGCCCACTACCTCCCTACATGGCCAGGGGCTCCCTGTTCTCTACCCTTCCTTTGGCATCCCTCTTTTCCTCTCATTTCTTCTCCCCACCACTTCCTCTTCTTTCTCCAGGCCTCAGTAACCATCCTGCTTTTTCTTAAACCCTGCATAGATTGTAGTCACCTTCTCTGCCCCATGACCCCCGGCTGGCCTCCTCACCTCACTCCCAAATGACTGCCTTTAGTTCTCCCCCTAGCTTTGAACTTCCTTCCCAGGCACACTGGTGCCAAGCCCCCTCAGTGACCTCCTCCATATAATAGGTTGGTAGTTTCATCAGGCTAAGGTTTGGTGCGGAAGTGCAGGTCTGGGCACCGGGCATCTGTCCATCTGTGTTCTCAGGGCCACAGTTTCCCCATCTGTAAAATGAAGGAGGTGGGCAGTCCAGAGATGTGATGGTTTATGTGCAAAAGCTTTGAAAGCTGCAGTAATCAGTGTGAGGTTATTGTTGCAACTGGACTCAGGCTTTCCTGTCTCCGCCCTGGGGTTCTGCCCCCTCCTCTCAGTCATGCCTTTCCCTGGCTTGGCCTCCAGTGGCACCAGTCTGCTCCTTTGCCCTACCCATCTAGAGAGAGGCAGAGCAGTGGCCTGTCCCAATACGGGTTTTGGGACCTTAAGCTAATCTTCGACTCTTTCTGGCCTGCACTTTCTCATCCTGTAGTGAAGGGGTTGAGAATGTAGAGTCTTTAATGCCCTTCTCTGGGCCAAGATATGTGTCTCCTTTCTCACAATCCTACCAAAACCCTTCCTTCTGCAAGGGCTTCCCAAACTAACCCCAAGCCCTTACCCTACCAGAGAGCCAAGACTGGGTACCCGTCTGGGTAGGTTCTAGAGCCCTCCCAACGGACTGGGATCCTCTCAAGCAGAGGATGCCCACCCAGCCCCCAGACTGGGGATTTCCCTTGTGCGGGGTCTGTGTTGCGCCCATCGGACTGGAAGTTCCCCACGCAGAGCCTGTGCTTCCTCTCTCTGATTGCCCCATCACAGGGCTCTGACATGGTGGGTTCTTAGCAGAGTTTGGTCAGAGCATCATGGGGTTTAGTCCAGTCCAAGAGCAAAGGTCATTATCCTAAGCTTTCTATGATGTGAGGTGCCAGCAAGTTCTTTTCTGCTGGTCTGTCTCTCCCTGTAATGGAGCCCTTTCTGTTCCCAGGGCTGGGTTGACCTGGTATCTTTTTCTTTTTCTTTCTTTTTTTTTAAAGAAATGACCCAGAGACCCTCCCCTTTCAGGCAAAGCAGAGCCAGGCTGGTGCCCAGGGGTTCCTCAGAAGCTGCTCACGGTGGGCCTGGGGAGGGGCTTGAGTGAGGGTGGGTGGGAGAAGAGAGGGCGAAACAGGAAGAAGAGTGGTCAGCTGGTCAATGAGAGGGGAGGAGGCCGAGAAACTGGGGTGAGCAGGACAAAACCTCCCCTCTGAGCCCTACCAAAGGGAGGGGCCGCTTATTAAAACTTACTGGGGCATACATAGCCAGCCTCCTGGTGAGAGAGTGTCTGAGGGGCAGGGAGAGGGACTGGGTGAAGGGTGGCAGGACTCTGACCTCCAGCCAGGCCTGTCTGCTGGCGGCTGCTGTGACTGATTCCTGGCCAGGAGACCCTCCCATGGGCTTGGGTTTGTGCCACCTCCAGTCCCTCAGTTGTCACCCCCATCCCCAAGTGCCTTGTCTCAGCCCCAGGCTGATATCCACATCCCCAAAGGCTCCGGACTTGCTTCTGGCTCAATCATGGCAGTCACTGGGTACTGCTCTGCTACTCGCAGAGAGGATGCATCGGGACACAAGCTTCCAGCCTTGCGCCCGGGAGCTTCCAGCTGGTAGGAAGTTTTCACATCTCGGGCTGTGGGTGAGGCAGGCAGGAGAGGTCACAAGTAGAGGGGCTGTGAGATCCCATGGGGTCGTGAGTGGGCCTCTGGAAACAGGAGGCGAGCTTGGAGCTCAGAGGTGGGAGATCTGGGCCACTGTTCTGCAGTCTTCTGTAAGAGAAGCCTAAGTCTGCAGGTGGGGTGGGGGTGAGGGGGGTGGCCAGCTGCTGTAGTTTCTAATGGAGCAGTGTGATGTGTCAAATGTGGGGGTGGGATTTCCCTTGTCCCACTTTTTCCCCTCCAGCCCTGGGCCTAGGCCAGGTTGCAGGGGTCCCTGAGTGGAGGAGGCCCCAGTGGGTCACACAGCCCATAGGGCTGAACACAAGTGATGACAGTGTGGGGCTTTGGGTGCATAGTAGGATGCTAGAGCCCCCCCCCCCTTCTTGTCAGAGGGCCCCGAAGTCCCTTCTTCTGATCAGGGTGGCTCATAACTAGCCTGTCAGCAGGCCTCTCACTTCCTCATTCTCTATCCGGGAACACCATTTGGGACCATTCCACTTCTCCATTTCTCTTGCCATCTTTAAGTTAGGGAGAGATCTTTAGGGGGGCACCTCATATTCCTGGAGCTCCTGGGGGCATTGAAGCCCAGCAGCTGAGCCCAGATAGGTCTTGTCTTGAATTCTGAACCAGGCCCATGGACAGGGTCCCTGAGAGGCAGAGGGAAAGGCAGTGACGACAGTAACAATGATAGCTGTCATTGACTAAGTTTAGGGGGTCCTAGGCATTGCTTTATATGTTGTATCTTTTTATTTAGCAACAAACATTTATTGAGCACCTACTGTGTGCAAGACACTGTCTAACCACTGGGGATACAACAGTAAACAAAACAAAAATCCCCGGCCTTACAGAGTTATAGTCCTTGCAACTTCTGTCAGTATCATCACATCACTGATGAAGAAACTGAGGCTCAGAGAGATCATGTGACTTGCCTCTGGTCTGCGTGACTTGGGCTTCAAAGCTCAGACTCCTGACCATTGGAGTGTGCAGTGCAGTGGGGGAGGGGGCCACAGTAAGGACCAGACTGGGGGTTCCGTGCTGTGATGGAGCTCAGGGAGGCCATGCCCTGCCCCTGACTCTTCTGTCTGGACTTGTCCTTCTAAAAGCATCTGTGGCCACAGGATATCTCTGGGGAGAGATGTGCTCCTTTTAACTGGAGTCCCCTTTTTTAAGCTTTATGTAAATTATAAAGTAGTCAAAATTAGTCAGTGCTGATTTCCTTCTAGCATCCTGTAGATTCTGTCATGCTCTTAGCCCCTTCTTCTCCACCCTCCCCTTCACACTCAGCACTGTGGGTACCAGTCATTGAAGCAAAGTGGTTAGCAAACTGGGTGTATTTTTATTTTCATTTCACAGGTCTTTCTCAAGCACCCATTATGTGTAAAGAAACAGTACTGGGTGCTGGGTACTAAATGTGAATTTGACCCCACCTGGTAGGCATATTGGAGAAGGCAGTGGCACCCCACTCCAGTACTCTTGCCTGGAAAATCCCATGGACGGAGGAGCCTGGTGGGCTGCAGTCCATGGGGTCTCGAAGAGCTGGACACGACTGAGTGACTTTACTTTTACTTTTCACTCTCATGCATTGGAGAAGGAAATGGCAACCCACTCCAGTGTTCTTGCCTGGAGAATCCCAGGGACGGCGGAGCCTGGTGGGCTGCTGTCTATGGGGTTGCACAGAGTCGGACATGACTGAAGCAACTTAGCAGTAGCAGCAGATAGACATATATCTGGCACTCAGCTACCCAGCTGAGTATCCAAGAGACACGAGATGTCAGTGACTGGCCTGAAGGCTTCAGGGTGGCTGCCGTGTCCTCGAGAAGGGTTTGAGTTTACCTCCTGTACCTGCCTGTGGTTGAAGGCAGCCCTTGTCAGGTAGGGTGGCTGCACTAAAGTCCTGACCTGGGGCACGGATGCGGGCAGTGGAACCTCCTGCTTTGGGGCCGGATGCAGGGGCTGCCGAGAAGGCTCTCTGGAAAGGCAGGGGTGAGGAGGAAGATTACCACTCTGCCTGCCTGCCTCCTGCCCCTTCTGATCCTGCTTGGACATCCTTTCCTCTGAGAGGCCGTCCTATGCCACCCTGACCTGAACCAGGTCCTCCACTATCCTGTCTCGCTCCCTCCTCTTCACTTCACTTTCACTGATTGCTTCATAGCATTTCACACTTGTTCGTGTGTTTATCTCTGGTGTTTATTTGTTCATCTTCTCCTTCCCCGCATTGCCAGCTCTGAGAGGGCAGAGATGTGTTATTTTTATTCTTCCCTGCCTACTCCAGCACCCGTGACATTGTGGGTGCTCAATACCACGTGTGTTGATGTGGTTGCATGAATACACAGGAAGCAGAATAGTGGAGGAGAGTGCGAGGTCAGAGGCCCAGTGTAAATTCTGATTTTGTCCTTCCACTGGTGTGACTTCGGTAAGTCACCTTCTCTGTTGGAGCTTCAGTCTGCAGTGACATGTGGATGAGGATGCTACCACCTAGGAGCGTAGTTGCCTGGGTTAAATGAGGTGGTCTGTGTAAAACATAATACAGTGACTCAATATAAGGTGCCTGCGGATATTATTGTGGCTGCTGTTATTATTGCCATTTCTGATACTGGATTGAGAATAACTGCCTCAGGGGTTGGGGGGGAAATTCGCGCTGGGTGATATCCAGCAGAGGGATATGTCTCTGTGTGGCCTCAGGGCAGCAGCCCTCATGGTGTGTCCGAATGCTCCATTACAGGGTGTGAAGGAGGGGGGCCAGAAGCCTCGGAGCGCGCAGACAGCAGACAAGGCTGGCTGGATCAAGAAGAGCAGTGGGGGCTTCCTAGGGCTCTGGAAGGACCGCTACCTGCTTCTCTGCCAGGCCCAGCTGCTGGTCTACGAGAATGAGGTAAGGACCGGCCTTCTCCTGAGTTTGAGTGTTCTGCGTTGGGGAGTCAAGTGGGGGCAGCCCAGGCCAGAAAGGGATGCTGGACCCGGGACTGGAAGGCCTGTTTCACTTTGGACCTGCTGTGCCACCTTGGGCAAGTACCTGGTTTTCTCTGGGTCTGTGCAGTACAAGGCGGTACCTCTAGGTGTGAGTGTAGGGCTCCCAGGTGAGGGCTATTTGAGGTGTATGTGGGTAGGGATGTGTGCTTCTCCTCAGCTGGCCACCTACTCTGCAGCTTGCTATCCTGGGGCTAGGTTCCACTTACGTGCAGTTTCCAGAAACCCAAAGCTTGCTCCACTCAGTAATGAGAGTAGAAATAATACTTACTTCTCATGCTTGTTTGGCGACCTTGCCTACCGCTCTTGGACGATGCTCACGACAGTCCGTGAAGAGCAGCCATCATGTCACATTCTACAGAGGAGGATCCTGAGGCCCAGGGTGGCCAGATCCTCTTCAGCGTCTCAGTGAAATAAGGTCAGGTCTAGACCCAAAGTCAGGGAGCTCTCCATCCAGCTATGCCAGCAAGTAAACTCTAAAACTTGTTTTTTATGGAAATCCTCTAAAACAGGGGTCCGCAACCTCCAGGTCAAGGACTGGTACCTCTATCGGATCAGCGGCAGCATTAGATTAGAAATAAAGTGTACAATAAATGAAATGTGCTTGAATCACCCCAAAACCATCCTCCCACCCTTGCTCCATGGAAACATTATCTTCCACAAAATAGTTCCCTGGTGACCAAAAGGTTGGGGACTGCTGCTCTAAAGCATGTTGGATATTCTTGTCTGCCTGCTTCAGCAGAGGATGCTGGCCTAAACAGTCTTCCTTAGTAACTCAGTCACTGGTGAGCCGGCCGTTCCTACTGCCAGCCTGTACTTTTCAGCTTTTCTTTCTCCTTTAACATCAAGCTTCCGGTTGCCTCTTTTGCTGTCCTTGTGCTTCTCATAGTCTCCGCATCTTTCTGCTTCAGACTCGTGCCCCTTTTCATTTTGACAGGCTTGGAATTTAGACAGCACAGCACGTGGAAGTTGTGTGTCGAGTAAGTGTTGATAAAGTTCTGGGTGAAGACCTGAGGCGAAAAGGTGGTCTTTACTTGGGAATGCTCTCTGTGTTCTGGGGTTGAGGCTGTAAGAGGGCTGTCGCTGTGTGCCTCTGACCAATGGGTGCGGGAAAGAACGGCTGGGGACAGGGGAAGGGGGATCCTGCCTGTTCCCCATCAGCCCTGTTAGCATGCCTCAGGCTGACCTGGTCAATTCGTCCTTGTCCCAGGCCAAGAGAGATCTAGGCATTTAAAGGAGCTGCCTTTGCGATGCACCTCACCTTTCCTGACTGAGTCTCCAGGCTCAAGGATCCGGGGTGTCAGAGAAACAGCCAGAGAAGGCCAAGGGGGTGAATCGTGCAGACAGTCCCCAGGCGTTCTGTACTGCCACCAAATTAGGATATGCTGTGGTGGCAGCAGGGGGCTATTTTTATAAGTAAAGGGGGCTGTCACAGCCTCCTCCAGTCCCAGCTACCATAAGAATTGAGTGACAGGCCCCCAGCTGTCAGCTCGTCAGGTGCTGCCAGCCTTGTCCTGGGCTACCTCTACATCTGGCCACGTCTGGGAAGCAGGAAGGATTTCACATCCCCTAAACACGAAAAGTCTAAATCACGCTTTAAAAAAAAATCACTATTAAAAACCTCAAGGCGGTTTCAAGAACTTAGCACTCGGGGGTGGGGGAGCTTGGCACAGCAGAGGGAATTGAGAAATGTTCAATTCCCCTTTCTGATGTAAGGAACTAGGCGAGTGCGAATGACTCTTGGCTGTTTCTTTGCTGTCAGTGAGGCTGACATTCCAAAAGCGCTGCCCCCGCCCAGTGCCTGCTGGGTTATCCGATTTTTCTGAGCTGCAGAAGGGCCAGATGATTCAGCGATTCAGGTTGAGAGGAGACCCAGGTCAGGCAGCCGTGGGGAACTGGGTGGTGGAGATGGACTGACCTTTTGTTTCCAGACAGAGGAGGGTGTGTTTGGGCCAGTTATCTTCCCAGTGGGGGCAGGCCTGTGCACATGGGGTAGGTGAGGATCTCTCTCTGGGATCGGAGGGCGGGGTGGGTTTCTTCCTGGAGTCTTTCTCTGAGTCAGGCATTCAGTTTAGCAAACTTTTCCTCTGGAGCCCTGTTCCTTAGGAGAAGGCAATGGCAACCCACTCCAGTACTCTTGCCTGGAAAATCCCATGGACGGAGGAGTCTGGTAGGCTGCAGTCCATGGGGTCGCAGAGTCGGACACGACTGAAGCAACTTAGCAGCAGCAGCAGGAGCTGTTCCTTATAGGGCACTGGCAGGGGAACAGAAAGGAGACACAGGCAACAGAGGTGGAGAGAGGTGTCTCCAGGGAGTTAGGACGTCCTTCCCCGTCACAGCGTGTCCCTAGCGCCTAGTAAGACGCCTGCAGATGGGGAATGTCAGAGGGGAGAGAACACTGAGGCTCAGGCTTGTGTGGGAGAGCAGGGCAGCTTCCTGAGCAGGTGGATTTTACCAGCCTTGTGTTGAGTGCAGACACCTGCAATGGATTGAAGACTAAGGCTTGGAAAGAGGTGCAGGGAGGCAGGAATGGGAAAAGATACTTGTTTGAATCTAGATGGGAGAGACAGGTCACCCTAGCTACCTGTTGCCCTTTCTCCAAGGGGCTGAAGAGAGAGTAGGTCAGTGGTTACAGACCTTAGCTGTACAGTCATCTGCTTTGGAAAATACTAATGTGTGGGCTCTGTCCTCCAGGGATCCTGATGTAATTTGTCTGGGATATTGCCTGGGCATGGGGATTTTTAAAGCTACCAGGTGCCACCAAGGTTGAGAATCTCTGGTGTAGGGCAGAGGTTTGCAAGCTTTTGCAAACATCACAGTCACCTCGAGGGCTTGTTAAAACTCAGATTGCTGGCCCATTCCCCCAAGATTATGATTCAGTAGGGTGGGGGCTTGAGGATGAGCATTCTGAGAAGTCCCCAGGCGATGTGACTGCTGCTGGCCCAGGTACCACACCTGGAGGACCACTGGTGCAGAGCAACCTGCTGCTCGGGCCCCTGTCCAGCCTGTGGCTCTGGCTGGAAGGAGTGTGGTGTGCTGAAAGGGCTCTGGCTTGGAAGTCAGAGGATGTGTCTTTCCATTTGGCACTGCTCCTATGTTTGGGTCTATGTGTGTTCAGTTGCCAGTCATGTCTGACTCTTTTGTGATCCTGTGAATTGTCACCTGCCAGGCTCCTCAGTCCATGGGATTTTCCTGACAAGAATACTGGAGTGGGTTGCCATGTCCTTTTCCAGAGAATTTTCCCGACCCAAGGTCAAACCCGCATTTCCTGTGTCTCCTGCATTACAGGTGGATTCTTTACTGCTGAGCCACTGAGGAAGCCCGTATTTGGGTCTGTGCCCAGGGCAGATCTCTTTGCCTCCAGGTCTCATTCTTTTTCTCTATAAAATGAGGCAGATCCTGGGATTCTAGGGTTTCAGGGTGCTTGAGGGACTCTGAAGATTCAGGGGGGCAAAAGGGCTTGCTAAGTGTCAGGGTTTCTGAATAGATGAGAATTATCATGGAGGGAAATTGGGGTATTTCCTCTGCAAAGAATTGAGTCAACTGCCTCCCTCCCAGATATTCCACCCAAAACTGTGGAGCCCCAAGGTGGTCCCTGGTTGGATGCTCTGGCTGGCTCTGCGTGGTGTCAACAGCAAGAGTTGACTTCACTTGCTGGCCAGTCTCCCAGGGCGTGCAGCTACTTCCCTGGAGTCTCCAGGGCTGTGACACACCAAGGAAGCTATTTCGGCCTGGTCTTCCCCAGAAGAGGAAGCAGCTGACCACCATGGAGGGAGGAGCATGTCCTCGGCTGCTTGCTGGAAAGGCACCTGGGCGGTGGAGCCCAGGAGGAGAATACACTCAAGAGCCAGGGCTGGTGTGTGGGAAGGTGGCCCAGGCAGTGTCCAGAGGTGGCTGAGAAGAGACTGGTCACTGTCCTGGCCACCAGCCCTACTAGAGATGAATCCTCACAGTGGCAGGCTTGGGATGCTCTTGAAGGAACTCTTGCCCTGTCTATTGTGCTGGCCATGGAGAGTGGCCTCTCACCCTAGGTGAAGGGTCAGAGGAAGAAGATGCCCAGTGGGGAAGTCAGCTCCAGATCACTGTGGTGAAGTCAGGTCATATAGCCCCAAACAGCTTCTCTCTAAGTGGCTCTACTTGGAAAGCCTTTTCTTCCTTTCAGCGTGCTCCTCCTGCCAGGCCACCTCTTGCACTGATCTCTGCTTGGCTTCTGGGCCTGCACAGACTCCCAGGCACACTTGCCTAAGCTCTTACAGCTTCCCCTGTTTCCTCCTTTGGCCTTAGGCACATCTGAGTCAATCCTGCTACCTACCTTTGTGCTGAGAGCCCATTTCTTATATGGATGGAGAGCTTTGAGGACATCCCTCCAACCAGTGTAGACTGAACTTCGTCTACTTGCCGGGTCTGAATGCCACTTCTTGGTGGTTGATTGGCAGCCCAAGGGCCCCCTCTGACCAAGTGATGCTGTCACTGAGTGGGATCAGGGTCTAGGGGCATCTGGTGCTTACTGTGTTCCCTCTGTCTCCCTTCCCAGGATGAGCAGAAGTGTGTGGAGACAGTGGAGCTGGGCAGCTATGAGAAGTGCCAGGACCTTCGTGCCCTCCTCAAGCGGAAGCATCGCTTTATCCTGCTGCGGTCCCCGGGGAACAAGGTAGGGTTAAGCCCGCTGCTGGCTGACCTCCCTCCAGGCCAGGGTCTGCTGGGGAAGGTCACCCTGGAAGGGTCTCGAAACAGTCTGGGCCCGTGGATACAAGCCTGCCGGGTCTCTGTTCAGTGTGGTGGAGGCTCAGACCCAGGTTCTGCTGTGGGTGGGACCTTTGGCTTGTTTTGGTCTTGGAGCCCTCAGCCCCTGGTTGACAGAGGTGCGTTTAGGGCTCTGCTGAGAGCTCCACTCCCATCTCCCCTTCTAGGCCCTGGGGTCCACGTTCCCAGGCTGTAGTTGGAAAGTAGTGTTTGGGAGGTGGGCCCTTGGCATTCTCCCACTGCCTGGACACGGGAGACCAGGGGCTGAGGCAGGAAGGCTAGGGATGATGTCTTCACCCCACCAGGCCTCGGCACCCTGCCATAGTTAGGCAACCACACCCTTCCTTCATCCCAGGCCTTCCTGGGTGGGCCACCCCTCCTACCTTCCATCCTAGCTTCAATGCTTGGACCCACAGCTGCAGCTTTCCTCCGTTCGCATTGTCCTTGCTTGGCTGAAGCTGGAGGAAGTCTCTTGACTGAGAGGTTCATTCCTTGGGACAGGCTGTGTATGTGGACAGAGTTCGCTGTTTGCACCCCTCATCTCTGGCAGGGAGTCCGGGTGGGTGTTGCCACGTGGCGGAGTTTCACAGATGTCAGGAGGGAGATCAGCTTGGAGGCTGGTGTACACAGTGCTGCTTGCCAGCTCGCGCCCATCTGCAGCTGGGCCGTGCTCACCCCAGCTTCTGCTCATCATGTGGAGCCTCACAGAGAGGGGCTGAGTCACAGAAGCTGGGGGCTGGGGAGCGGGCCTGGTCTGGGCTTGCCCCAGGTCATTATGATTCTCTCGTAGCTTTAAGGGCCAGGAGCCTAGTCCTCTATGGTCCCCAGGGGGAAGACCATGATGGCTTGATTCAATAACCTTCTGTCCCACTCAGTGGTAGGTGGACGCAAGGAAGCATGGAGCTCTGATCCTGGGGATGGGGTTGTTCCAAGGTCAGGAGCAGGTTTCACTTGACTTCTGCTGCTTACGGAAGATGGGGAGAGCAACCATATTTTGGTCTTTCAGGCCCTAGAACCCCCACCCTGTTCTGGAGGCATGCTTTCCCTCTGAGTGGTGCTGTATTTGTGTGTGTGTGTTTGGGAGACATGTAGAGTGCACTGTGTGTGAAGGTTGGCCTGTGTGCCTGAGGCCCGTGTGTGTGCTTCTGTGTGCAGGAGAGTGTTCACCTGACCCAGGGGTTGTCTGCATCTGTGTGTCCCTCGCTGAGCACCTGTGGATGTGGGCGGAGAGGTCTTGCTTCTCTGTCCTCTGCCAGTGCCATTCTGTGGACCACCTCGTTTCTCTGAGAACCAGCTGATGGTGGGCTAGATGGTTAGGGCCCTACTCAGGGTGGGACATCACCTTCCAAGTAAGCGGCCTGTTTGTGCAGCTGCATTGTCAGCTGCTTCGCCCAACACCTTCCCTTTCGTCCTCCAGTCAAGCCGGGAGTTCAGGTTGGCTCTGGGTGACTCTGGGAACAGGACAGTGAGTTGGGGAGATGGGGCTGTGGAGTGATTGGTGGGGACTGCTGGGTAGCGGGAACACAGCCTACCCTGGTTTCAGCTCAAGGGCCCCTGACCCTCGGTACCCCAGGAGCTCACACAGAGAGTGGGGGCTCTCCAGAGATCAGATGGTGGACTGCACAGAGCACCGCTTCCCCGCCCCCAGCTCCCCCGCATCCTCTCACCCTCCTTTCCTATCGCCTTGGGTGTTCCCATCCTCAGTGAGGCCACAGGCTGGCCAGGAGGTCACATGACCCCGGCTGTCTGGTCCTGAGGCCGCCTTTTTTTCCCTCTAATCAAATAAACAAAGACTCCAGTGTCTTGCATGCCCCTCTCCCTCCTGCCTCCTCGTCCCCACACCCCTGCCATGAGGTCACAGGCAGACGCTGCCAGGAAGCAGGGTGGCCTCTGCTGGGCCTTGCTGCCCTGCTGGTTTCAGCCAGCTTGGCCCTTTCCTCTTTCCTGCCTCCTCTCTCCCCCTCCCACCTCTTTCCTCTCTGCCATTTTGTCCTCCCCCCTTTCCCAGCCAAGTGGGCCTTCTCTATGTCCAGTTCTGTTAGCGTCTAAATTCCTGGCGGGGCCTGTGCACTGGAGCTTCTTGGGAAGGCTTGGGGAGGGACCATCGGTGCAGCCTGTGGCTCTTCAGGATGGGGGGTGGGGGTGGGGCAAGAGGAGCAACTTCTTGGTTTTCTGTCTGTCCCTATTCTGATCACCCTTCTAACTGTCCCTATTCTGATGCCTAGTTCATTCAGGCAGGTGGGGCTGGATCCTGTATAACTTTGTATTCCCTCTCCTGGGGAACCCCTGGGCCGGCACACTCCCCCCAGCCTGCTTAGGTGGGCTAGCCAATGGGAAAGAGTTACAGTTTGGGTTGGGTGCAGTGGTTGGATTTTTTTGTCCCATTGAGGCCCCGATTAGTAAAGAGACCCTTGCAGTTCTCATTGCAGGTTAGTGGGACTAGAACTCTGATGTTGACTCCTTGGTCAGTGTTCATTCTCTGCTCCACTCTTGCTGCATCTTTTTCTTAGTTCAGGTGTATGCCTCTCAAGCTGTCAGGTATGCTAAGTCCTGCACCAGGCAGGGGCCCCAGCCCACTGACTCTGGGCCTGCAAGCAGAGGCAGTAGCTGGGCTGATGGGCTGCCTGGGGCCAGCGTACTTGCAAACCCCATCAAAGGGTGGAGTGGGCCCTTTCAGAGCTCAGATGCAGTGCTGTCCCTTCCTGAGCCACGAGCAGCCCTGATGGCTGGGCTGAGGCAGTTGCCAAGGTGCCCTGGGGTTTCCGACTTAGCTGCCGATCTCCTGCCAGGATCGAATTTACCCTGGTCATGCAAATGAGCATTTGGCTGTGCCTGGTGTGGGGAGGTGGGTGGGACCAGGGCCCTGTATGAGGAGAACTCAGAGGCAGCCAGGAGGAAGTTATATAACGAGGATGCTGAGGGGGCCAGGCGGGCCGTGTGTTACATAACCAGGAGAGCAGCAGGAGGGAAGGCACAATCTAACACCCGGGTGGGGATGGGCAGCTGGTGACCTGCCCGACAAAGAACTAGGGCATCTCGAGGTCAGAGAGTAGGCAGAGGCCCCAAAACGGGAACCAAGGGCCAGCTCATTCATTGATGAGCTGTTCATTCAGTAACTACTTACTGAGTACCCAGTATGTGCCAGGCCCTGGCTTTGTTGTTATTTAGTTGCTAAGTCTTGTCCATCTCTTGTGTGACTCCATGGACTGTAGTGAACCAGGCTCCTCTGTCCGTGGGATTTCCCAGTGAGTTGCCATTTCTTCCTCCAGGGGTCCTCCTGACCCAGGGATCGAACCCGCGTTACCTGCATTGGCAGGCGGATTCTTTACCACTGAGTCACCAGGGTGTTCAGTTCCCTCCGCATTGCTTTGTAGTAGGCAGTGGCATCCCTTTTTCCAGATACGGAAACTAGGACTGTTTTGTGCAGGAAAGAAATGGTGACAATTCCTATGACTGAGCACCCTGTCTGTGCCCACTTCCACATTTAACACTTTGCTACATTATTGATCTTCACAGCTCCCTGAAGTTCAGGGTCAGCCAGCTGTGAGTGCTGGTCTGTCCAGCTCAGGGGCCCTACTGCTGTGTCCGCCATGGGGGGCAGCTCCTCAGTTTGTGTGGCTTCACTCCTTCCACTCTTTCCTGTCTGACCTTGGGGTCTGGCCAGGAGGGGCCTCTCTGAGCTGCCTTCTGATTCTAATGTAGGAGCTTGGAGCTCCTGCCTGAGGTGGGAAGAGACTTGTGGCGTGGGGTGGGGTGAGGGGGGATGTGAAGTTGAGTCATGGGATTACTTCAGGCCGCCTTGACCAAGTCCCGTCCCTCTGACAAGCCTCATCTACATGATGAGGGGGCTGAAATGGACCCCCTAATGCCCTTTCTCTCTTTCAGTCCATGACTCAAGGCCAGAAAGGAGACCCTGGGACTTTTTCACTTGGCCAGGACTAGGTGTGGGGTCCCTGGGCAGCTGTAGGTGGCCCTTGTTCTAGTAGGCCTTCCCTGGTGGCCACCCTCACGCCTGTCACCTGTGCCGTTGTACTCAGTCTGGCAGATGTAGACTGGGACTATATTCCTACTTCACAGAGAAATCTCAGAGGTCAGGCTGCAGTCTGGGGGAGTCACAGAGGGTGAGACCAGATCTGGGCAAGGCCGATTTGAATCCAGATCCCTGGCAGCTGTATCCATGGAGAAGGCCCCTTCTCTGATGGGTCTGTCTCTTCCCTTGCTCTGGAGCCCCTGTGTGAGACCTGATATGGGGGTCATTTTGATTTGCTTCTGACCAGCTGTGGGAAGGCAGACTTCAGGCTATGGTGGGAAGTTTCCCTAAGACCCCAAGTGTGAACCCTTATAAACGTCTGCCATTCATCACACCCATGCCTGTTGCAGGTCAGTGACATCAAGTTCCAGGCACCCAGTGGGGAGGAGAAGGAATCCTGGATCAAAGCCCTCAACGAAGGAATCAACCGAGGCAAGAACAAGGCTTTCGATGAGGTGCGATGCAGCCCCCCGGACTGCTCTGGGTCTCTTTTCCCTCCACATGTGATCTCAGAGTGAACCCTGCCCCCCGCCCCAGACAACCCCTTGATTATGTCACTGCTACAAACACTGGGGTACCTGCTATTGTTACCTCATTTAATCCTCACAACACACTTCAAAGTAAGTGTCTGTATTCCCATATTACAGATGAGGAAACTGAGGTGTAAGGAAATTTAAGTATGTGTTTTTAAATTAAAACATGGGTAGAATTTAACTGGTTGCAACTGTGCTTCCTTTCCAACCCAGATCCAGCCATAGCAGCAGGTGAGCCCAGGGCTGAGAGGTCTGGGGTGAGCTGAGAGCCTGACGGCTCACTCTTCAGTTGGGCCGTGAAGTCTGAGTTTGGCTGGCTATAGGCCAGGCCCTCCTTACCTGTCTTTAGTGGCCATCCAGTCCCCTGTCCGTAGTGGTGATGCCAGCAGGGCTGTGATCGGGCTCTGGGCAGGAAGGGTGTCCCACGGGACCAGATCTCCTAGGGAGGGTTTATCTTTGACTAAATTCATAGCTATTTGGGCTAAAATGGACCTGGGGCCACCTAGAGTGACCCTTTGGCAGAAGACTGAGGTTGATGGGGGACGAATTCTCCCAGGCAAGTTCCCTCTTAACACCCAGGTTCCCTTACTGGCAGCCATGGCTCCCAGGTCACGTCTTATGTGACTGTGTCATATTCAGCCCTTCACTAGTTTGGTAAAGTGTCCCCATTTCATGGGAGAGGATGTTGGAGGCCACAGGAGCATGGCCTGGGCCTCAGCCGACAGCCTTGATGGAGCAGGACCAGCTGCTCCACTGCAAAGACCCCCAGGTGGGCCTGAGTCTCACCTCTGGGGAGAAGAGTCTTAGAATACCCCCATCACAGGGACCAGCTGCGCTGGGATTCAGTCTGGATTTCCCACATGACTCTCACTGTGGCTTCCCCGCTACTCCTTTCCCACATTCCTCACCTTCAGAGAGGGTGCCCTCCAGGCTTCCTGACCCAGGGGGAGTAGAGTCCCTGGTCTTTCTTGAGCTTCCTTTCAGGATCCTCAGGGGCCCTGGGAGAGTGACTGGGGCCAGGGAAGGCCTTTTCTGGAAGCCAGGTACTAGGGGATCTTGGGCTGACTCCTCCCCACTCCCCCCAGCTAAGCTCGAAAACAGCCACAGGGCTGCTTATATATTTGCAGTGGACTGAGAGATGAGGGCTGATAGCCTGTGTTGGGGCAGGAAGACTGAGGCACAGAGGGCAGCTGCAGAAGAGGGAGAGCCTTAGATTGCAGAGAGATGACAAAGGCCGTGTAGAGACAGGGTTAGAAAAGCAGAGGCCTGGACGCAGGGAGAGGCCTCAAAGAGAGAGACAGCGTGGGGCACTTGACCCTGTCAAGCAAGGAGGAGGTGCTGACCCCACCTCTGAGTCAGATTATCACCTGGGCATTTCTTCCCCTCCCCAAGGCTGGGTGGGGACTGACACGGTTTCCTCGTTCCCAGGTCAAGGTGGACAAGAGCTGTGCCCTGGAGCATGTGACGCGGGACCGCGTACGCAGGGACCAGCGGCGCCGGCCCCCTACGAGAGTCCACCTCAAGGAGGTAAGGCCTGCCCCCAGCTTGGAAGGGTTGGGGGTCAGCTGAGCCTGGGACTGCAGCTGCTTAGGTGGCAGAGGGCTGGGGGCCAGCTTGTCCCTAAGTGCTCTTGGCGTCGGGCTGAGCTGACCCTTGCGGCACAGGAAAGGTTTCAGTGGGGAGACTCGGAGTGAGCGAGGTCCTGGGTGTAGGGAATGGTGTGAGTTTGAGGCCCCAGCAGGGGAGAAGGTGTGCTCCGTCCCTTTGATTGGGAGATGGTATGGGAGGGTGGGGTTGCGGGAGGAAATTGTGGAGGTCTTGAAAGCAGGATTTGGGGGCAGGTTGGATGGAAGGGTGCGTTCCAGATGTCAGTTGGAGGCCCTGGTAGTAAGGGGTAGGTTGATGTAGAGAAAGGCAGGGGGCCAGGAAATAGAGGCAGAGGTAGGGCCTCCAGGCTCCAGGAGGGGTGAAAAGGGAGGGACCAGTGGGAGAGACACTGGGCAGCAAGGGCCACCTGGGCTTGCGTCTGAATTCAGGGCTCAGGGAGGCAGATGGACACAGAGGGAGGGTTGTCAGAGCGCCCCCATTCCTGGAGACCCGGGCGTGGGAGGGGGAAGGACTCAGGGGGCCCTGGACACAAGGAATTGGGGAGAAGTTATGGCCAGGGGAGGGGGAAGGGAGGAGTCCTTCCTCAGACCATTGTTACTGATGGGGGTGGATGGTGGGGGGAGAGATCTTGGAGGACAGGAAAGAACCTCAGCAGATGTTACCTTTGAGGAATGAGGGGCACAGGGAGCCGAGGAAGAGGAAGCCTGAGAGGGGTGCATTCCAGAGAAGGGCACTGGACCGTGGGTCATCAGCCAGGTTGGCAGCCACAAGTCATGGGGCAGGACTGGGGGAAAGGCAGATGGTGATGATTCAGCCCATTTTCTCAGAGAAGGAGTCGGCTTTGGACTGTCATGGCGTGCAGAGCTGGGGGTGCTGGTGCGAAGGAGACCATGGCGGGGAAGGAGGGAGACAGAATGGGGTCTAGGCCATTGGATGGTTTGCTTTTGAGGTGAGACAGCCTGTTCATGTCTGTCAGCTGAGGAAAACGTCCTGCAGAGGGAGTGACTGAAGCAGTCAGAGAGGAAAGGCATGTCTGAGGGAGGAAGCCTGGGAGCTATGGGGAGGGCCAGCCTTGGAGAGGGGGACCCTCTGAGAAGAATTTAGGGAGGGACTCGTGTCTAATGACTGAGTACATGTATAGGCCTGGTCACCCTTTGCGTGTGAAAGGGAGTGAAGACCTTGAGGGACTTCGGGCAAGGGGCCTCCTGCACAGTCCCACTCCAGGCCCTCTGAGGAGGTGTCCCCATGACCTTGGGGCTGCTGGGTGTCCCTGTGGGCCCCTGGGGCCAGGTGGGGACAGCTGCCTGCTGGGTGCAGCTGTTCTCCTCTGGCGGTCAGCTGTGGTCTTGGGCTGCCCATGTCTGGGGCCACGTGTGATGACATGAGGAGAATGGGCACTGGCTGCTGAGCAGCTGGGCAGGGGAAGGCTGGAGAGTTCTGACCCCGAGGGCTGGCCGGCTGGACAGAAGTCTCCACGGCGAATGAGCGTAGGGTGATGCAGGAGACTCGTGTGTGAGATCTGATCCTGTCGCCTGCTGGGTGGGTGGTTGCAGAGAAGGGACCCTCCCAAGGCCTACAGCCAACTAGGGGGCTAAAATAGGGCTGGAAAGCATGTTCCCTGCCACCCAGGCCAGCACAGTTGCCTTTCAAAAGAGCAGCCTATTATACAGGCTGGAAGAAGCCAGGCTGAGGCCTGAGAGGACTCCTTGGTTCTGACTTCCTGGCCTGTGATTCTAAAACCATGAATTTTATGGAAGTGAGGGAGATGAGAGGATTCATCAGAGAATCACTTTAGCTCCTAATCAGGTGGCTTTGGAAGCCAGAGCAGAGGGCATGGATGGTGTGAGAGGCCAGGGGCATGGGAAGCCTGGATGAGAGGACTTGAGTACTCTTGTAGGTGGGCACAGCTGACCCAGTGGCCGGTCATCCAAGTTGATGCCATGTCCTGCCCCTGTAGGTAGCCAATGCTGCATCTGATGGGCTTTCGCGTCTGGACCTCGATGTTCTGAACAGTGGGCCACCAGTGTTAGCCCCTAGCAATGATGTCGATGCAGCCCAGCCCCGGGAGACACCCCGGCCGCCCATGCCTCCTGCCAAGTCTTCCCCAGCGCCTGAGACCAGCAGTGCTGGTGACAGAATGGAGACTCCTGTGGGGCAGAGCACCCCTACCCCTGTCCCAGCAAGCACTGAGGCCCACCCTGAAAGCCGAGAAGACTTGGAGACTCCAGTGGTGGAGGACAGTGACTCTGAGCAGCCCCCCAACAGGATGCTGCCTGACAAGCTGAAGGTGAGCTGGGAGAACCCCAGCCCTGAGGAGGCCCCTGACTCTGAGAGTGCAGAACCACCCCAGGAGTCGGGTGCTGAGACTTCTGAGGCTGGGCCCAGGGAGGGTGGGAAGCCCCCTACCCCCCCGCCCAAGATCTTATCGGAGAAACTGAAAGCGTCCATGAGTGGCGTGGAGGCTTCTGGGCCAGCTCAGAGTCCTGGGGCCTCTGAGGCGTCTGCCCCAGGCCCAGCAGAGGTCTCAGTGAATGGTGTGGATGACAGTCCTGAGCCCCTCCAGTCATCCCAGGCTGCAGGCCCCCCAGGAACTCCCCCAAAGGCTGCAACGACACCCACCGCCCTGCCCCCCTGGGACCCGCAACCTCAATTCCATCCCCGCTGCTCCTCCCTGGGGGACCTGCTGGGGGAAGGCCCCCGACGTCGGCGGCAGCCTGGGGAGCAGCTGCATCGGGCTCAGCTGGAGGTGAAGGAGGCCTCGGAAAAGACAGAGAAACTGTTGAACAAGGTTCTGGGCGGTGAGTCGGCCTCCGTGAATGCTGAGACGTTGCTCAGCCAGGCTGTGGAGCAGCTGAGACAGGCCACCCAGGTCCTGCAGGAGATCAGGGATCTGGAAGAGATGAGCCAGGAAGCACCCGGGCTCCGGGAGAAGAGGAGGGAGCTGGTGACCCTCTACAGGAGAAGTGCACCCTAGGGCCTGCCGGGCCAGGGACGTTCCCTGCTGGCCGGCTTAGTCCCTCAGAGCCCAGCCCTGCCGAGAAATGTGCTTCTTCAGGCTGTAGAAGGGCCATCAGGCATGTCGGGGTTCGGCCAGGACCTGTAGAGACTCCTGGGATCCTTCCCTCCCTGCTCTGGCCAGAGGTGCCAGGCACCGCCCAGGGCTGCTGTCTGGCTGGGCCTCCGGCTCTGGGCTTGGGCTGGGAGCACACACTCGGGACGTCTGTGCTTGCGTGGTTGTTCCGAACAGCCCCAGGGCCTTGGCACAGTGCTCGGGGTTTCCGGGGGCGGCATCATCTCTACTTCCCGCCCTCAATAGTTTACATTCCTGACTTCTTAGTAGAGCACAGCTGAGCCCCCCTGCAGCCTCCATGGCCAGATGTTCCCAGGCAAAGCCTCATGGCAGAGGCAGCTTCAAGCCATAACTGACCTTCCCCACCACCTCTTCCCAGAAGTGGCTGGGGCCTCTGGTCTAGACCAGAGGTTCGGCCTTCAGTTGAGTGTGACCTGGATCCCAGCCGGGGCCTCTGAAGGCAGGTGGGAGGCATCTGTGTGAGAAAGCCATTAGCTATGTGGCCCCTCCCTGGGCCCGTTTCCTATTCTACAGGCCTTCCCCTCTGGTGAGCCAGGCTTGGTGGACTCCAGGGTGGAGGAGGAACTCGAAGGGTCTCGAAGTCTCTTCCCTGCCCCTGGACCAGCTTGGGTCCAGCCTTATCAGGTTCAGGTGAACCTGATATCAGCATCAGAAAATCCTGTATGTAATTCATTATAAATCAACATTCAGGAGTGAAGCTGCCCCAACTTCTGTGCTTCCCAGATGGGATTTATATCTGGGTCTCTGGTTTCTTCTCAACCCAGACAGGTCCAGTATCCCAGTTATTTCTTCAAATGCTGATGAGAGCTGTTGGGCCTGAAATCACTTCCCTCTCCCCGTTCCCCTCCTCCCGTGGCTCCAGGTCCACATGGGCTGCTCCTCCTGAACTTCCTTGTGGAAGGAGCTTTATCACCTATCCCTTTCCTGGTCCTTCCGGTCCCTACCCCTTCCCTGCAATATCATCTCTGGCTCCGGAGCACATCCGGTCTCTGTCCTGCTGCAGCGGCTGGACTGAGGGCAGGGTCTGTAAGGTGCAGAGGCTCTGAGGGCCACAGCCGCTCCCTGGGGCCTGTGGGAGTAGGAGCAGCTTCCAACAGGCCTGCTCAGGGGTTTCTGCAAGTGCACTTTTGTTTACTGAAAGAGAGGGAGGCTCACAGCTGCATGCTTTGGCCTTCCTGCCCATTGCCCCACCCCCAGCCTCTAGTCTTGCCCACTGAGGCCTGCAGGTGCAGGTCCCGGCCTTCTTTGCTTCTACTTGGTTCTTGAGGGTAGTGGCAGGTATCAGGAGGGGCACGTGTCTGCTCTGCGGCCTGACTGGGCAGGGGTGTGGGCGAGCAGCAGTGTCATGACTCATGAGCCCCCATTGGCCTCCCTAAACCACACTCCTTGAACAGACTAGGCTCCCAGACCTAGCCTGTGTGAGGTTTCCTCATACATCAAATTAGATCAAGGTCCATCCATCTCTCCATATGTCTCCAATATGAGAGCAAGAATGTCACCAGGGGCCCACCTTCATGTAGCCCCCTGTAGTCTTCTTTGGGGAACAGCCTTCCCTCACCAGCCACCTTGGCTGGGTGAGGCATTCACCAAGTCACATCCTTCCTGGGACTAGAGCCTCAGTTTCCTGCTCTGATAAGTGACCAGGTTGAGCAAGCAGCATTGGGGCACCTCAGTGGCTTGATGCCATTGTTTCCTATGGGATGCCTGTGCCTTGGCAGCCTGGACCCACGGGGGACGCCAGCTTCCAGGAAAGGGGAGGAGGATCCGGAATATGCAGGAGCTGCCTGACTGGCCTCCTGGAGGAGGATGGCATTCCATGTCTTCTGCTTATGAAGCGCCTTTCTTGAAATTTGGCAATAAATCCCTTTTTATGGAACTTCTCTGCCACAAGCCTGTTTGTTGATGTGGAGACCAGCTCCAGGGCCTAATGGAAACAGAGGATAGTTGGTGGTTGATGAGGCCATCACCGGTCCTCCAAACTCTTTTCCAGGGCCCCCTTCTCATAGGCCAGGCTGGGGGGGGCTCACCTTCTCACAGTGCTCCATCTTTGCTAAACTTGATCTGGCCTTGAAGTCTCACCCCTTCTATCCAGCATGTTTGTACAGCCTGAGGGCTAAGTACCATAGGGAACAGTACTTTTCAGTTTTTAAAAAGTTTATTTGGAAACAATTTCAAACACAGAGAAACACGGCAAGAGTAAGTACAGTACAAAGAACACTTGTATACTGAGGTTGACCTGTTGGCTTATCTTTTGAGTGCCTTTTTTTTGTTATAGATGTACAGTTCTTTTTTGGAGTCTTTGGAGAATTAGTTATCATGCCCCTTTCCTCTAAATACTTCAGTGTGTATTTCCTAAAAATAAACATATTCTATTATTAATCATAGTACAGTTAGCAACTTCAGGAAATTTAACATGGATAGAATACCGTTCATATTCTGGTTTTATCATTAGACCCATTAATATCCTTTAATCATATGTTGCCTCCAGGGTAGGGTTGAATATTGCATAAATGTCCCTTTAAGTCTTATTTAATTTGAAATATTTTCACAGCTTCTATTTTTCATGATGTGGATATTTTTGAAGAATACAGTCCTCCCCAGCTTTTTAATAGAATAGTCCTCATTTGGGGTGTGTTGCAGTTTCACATCAAGTTAGATCAAGGTCATAGAGTCTCAGCCAGAGAACTGCACAGGTGATGTTAGGTCCTTCTCAGGACATATCTGGAGACAATCTCCATCTGCCCTTCACTGATAATGTTAATTTTGATCACCCAAAGTGTGATCTACAAATTTTTCTACTGTATAGTTACATATTTTTCTCTTGTAACTAATAAGCAATCTGGGAGACATTTAGAGACCATGCACAGGACTTCCCTGGTGGTTCAGTGGTAAAGACTCCATGCTTCCATTGCTGGGGCCACTGGTTCGATCCTGGTCAGGGAAATAAGTTCCCGCGTGCCACATAGTGCGGCCTAAAAAAAAAAAAAAGGACTATTCATAAATGTGTTGTATCTCATCAAAATTTCCCTCTAGATCTAGTCTCCACTGATGATTCTTGCCTGAACAGGCATATCCTATGATGGTTCAAAATTATTCCAGCTGTCATTTTAACTTCAGAGCCTGGTCCTGGTTGGGGTGAGCCTGGGACTCACCTGATGCCTGTGGCATCCCTCACACATCTCAGCAGGACCCAGAGCTTTGCTGAGTGCTCTTTAGAAACCCCTGGGCCAGCAGACAGCTCCAAGTCAAGCGACCAAGTCAAGTCAAGCTGCTGGCAAGGTGTCGAGTCCCACCAGGGACCTCAGTGAAGCTCAGCCTCTGGAGGCCTCAGTTTCCTCACTCACAAAGGGGATCACAGTGCCACCCGCTCCTGATGTGGGAAAGCACTGCAAGTCGTTCCCCAAAGGCCGGCTCCCTTCCTTATCTGTGAGGGCTGCTGAACAGGCCTGGTGGTCAGCACAACAGGAAGCACCTGACCCGGGACTTACTGACTGTTCTCTGACCTTCGTATTATCCCTCAGGAATTCCCCTGCCACTGGCCTGACGTGTGTCCACCATACCAAGTGGGTGGCCTGCAGAAGCAGGGGGACCCCAGGCGAATCAGTTCACTTCATCTGCGAGGGAGGTGAGGGAGAGAAGTCCCTTTATTGACGGGGGTGTGCCCCGACCCTGGCCCAGGAACAAGGTCTCCTCCTGAGGGCCGCCTTGAAGGGAGCGGCTGCCGGGAAGGTGTCAGTGGCCAGCCAGCCGCAAGACTGAGGAAGGATGTGGTGAGAACTTTCTTTCCTCCTGGCCCTGGGGGCAGGAGGCCTGTGCAGAGAAGCGGAGCCTTTTTCTTCTAAATACGAGTCCTGGTATCTCTGGTCTGAAGCCCTGTGGGGTTGCAAACCACAGATGGCTGCCTTCAAGCAGGACTCAGGACAGAGGGGGAGGATCAGGTGGGGAAGGGGACATCCAGAGTGCCCATGCCTCTGGTCCCACCTGAGCCCGAGCCCTGGAACCTCCCTGTGTCTTTCTGGAGCCACCATATTTTGTGTCCCCCCAATCTTGTGTTCCTGCCTCCCCACCTTCCTGACCCCTCTCTCCTATCCCAGACAGGAGACATGTCAGAAACATGAGGCAGGGCTGTCAGAAAAAAAAGACCTCATGAACTCACTCAAGTGGAGGTTTCTGAGACATTACCGGGAGGCTCTGTGGGGGGACATGGAGGGTGGAGAGGTCATGGTAGAATTCTGGCCTGTTGTCATAATTTTATTAAAGGAACAAAGTTCCTGGAGGAAGTAGCAGGGTGTAAGTAGAAAAATATGACTTTAGATTTGGAGGCAGACACATCTAAATTCAAATTCTAGCCATGAATGAATTTACCTTAGGTAAAGCCATTTACCTTAGGTAAAATGTGCCTGTTTTTCCTGTTTGTCAAATGGGCTAATCTCCCTCTTCACAGGATTATTGTGGAACACGTAGCCCGTGGTCTGCCTCACAGAAAACGAGGTTAATAAACTTCAGCAGCCCAACCTCACAGAGCCCCTGCTGATTGGCAGGCCTGTTCTGGTCTCTCACTGTCACCTGGCCTCATGAGGAAGATTTCTGTTCAGTCCATTTACAGGTTAGGAAACTGAGACTTAACTTGCCTAGGAGACCACAAGTTAAGCATCGGGACCCGGGATTCCACACCCTAGGTTCTGGGCCTGGGGTGACAATCAACTGCTTCCTGTTTCTTCTCTGGAGAGTCTGTGACTGCCGATGGATGCTCAGCCCAGGGAAATTCTGGCCAGCTTGGGACATCCCCACCTTTCCTGGCCCCCAAAGGATACCCCGAGACTGGTCTGGCTCTCCACCAGCCAGCCAGGGCCCAAGGGAGAGGCTCAGGAGGCCCTTCCCTTATAAGGACAGCAGCTCGGCCGTGATGAAACTTCTGGGCCTCCCAGCTGGGTGGGCGGGGGAAGGGAAATGACAGGCTCCAGCAGCTACAGCTGAGAGCCTGAGCCTCCGCAGGAACTCGCCCACGAGCCTCCCCTGTCCCCTTCCTGTGTCGACTCTCAGTGGGGCTTTCCAGAGGGTCCCACTGGCCAGAGTGGGGAGGAGGAGCCAGGGCCTGGGAACCCAGGGCGGGCGGTGGCCCACGGAGGGAAGATGCGTAAACAGGCCAAGAGAGGGGACAGGACCCTTGTAGGTCCTGCAGGAAGCATGCCGTCTGGACTCCAGGTTGGCCAGGCAGGGCCATGCGAGAGGGAGGAGGCTGAGGAGAGGCTCTTGGGCAAGTCTCTTTCTCCCTTTAGGCCTCTAAGGTCTAGTCATAGGGGTGGGGACCTGGATGGGGGATGGTCAGCTTGCAGCAAGACCTTCCCCTTCCCTTTCCTTACCTGTGTCCCTAGTGGCCTGCCCTTCCCAACAAAACTTACCAGTCCAGATCCATCTGGGCAACTAGGTGAAGAATCATAGGTTATCAGGACTGATACGGATCCTTGCAACCATTTAGTCCCTCCTGCTGGTTTTAGAGTGTGGGAAGTAAGAGCTTGAAGGAAGAACCTGAACAACTTGCCCATCTATTTTGTTTAAAATATATATGTACATATATAATATACATACATGCATACATATATTAATGTGTATGTATATATGTGTATGGGGCTTCCCTTGTAGCTCAGACTGTAAAGAATCTGCCTGCAATGCACAAGATCTGGGTTTGATTCCTGGATTGGGAAGATCCCCTGGAGAAGGGAATGGTTACCCACTCCAGTATTCTTGCCTGGAAAATGCCATGAATAAAAAAAAAAAAGAAAGAAAATGCCATGAATAGAGGAGCCTGGCAGTCTACACTCCATGGGGTCACAAAAGTCAGACACAACAGAACAGTTGCTTTTTCATATATGTATATGTTTGTAAGTGCTTTTTTCTTGGTTTACTATTTAAAGTTACTTTTCAAGAAATCTCAACTTGTTAGTTGAAGAAAAGGACAAAGCGCTTTTTCTGCACCCAGGTCTGGTTAGCTCTGGGTGTTGGTGCTTCACTGGAGACCTCTGAGCTTGGCAGTGGGGGTGAGGCAAGATCCTAAGGAAGAACCAAGTGTGGCAGACGGAGAATCAGTCTCTGACACTGCTCTGCACAAGCTGTGTGACCTGAAGCAGCTGCAGCCTCTCTGAATCTCAGTCTCATCTCTTCGAAAGGGTGATCTTGAGGATAAAATGAGATTATTTCCATAAAGCATTTAGCTTAGGCCCTGGCACAGAGTAAGGGCTTAGTAAATGGGTGACATTACTGTTTTGGACACCTATGCCTTGCCAACATTACATTAGGTGCTGTGGATTCCAAGCACAATAAAATGAGACAGACACCCTGACTCAGTGAACGCAGTGGGATCAGCCCTGAGATAGAGGGGCAAGTTTCTGCAGTAGCGTAGTGGCTACTTTTGCTGGCGAAATCAGGCAAGGGCTCACGGAGGAGGTGACCTTTGCTTGGGACTTGGAGGAGGAGTAAGAGTTTACAAACAGGAGTTGAGGAGAGCATTGGAGAGAGGGAACAGAGTGTGCAAAAACAGAATCACAGCATATTACTAAAACTGGGGCAAATTCTGTGTAGTATCCTATAGAAGGAGGTGCTGAGGGAAGGGTAAGGGGATGTGAAATGAGGTGGCAGAAGGCAGGGGGTCATGATGTTTCTCAGAAATCTTGAACTTTGTCCTAGTGACTAAAGGGAGTCATGGGATAGTTCTCAAGAGGGTCGGGATAGGCTGGGTGGGGACTGGAGGCAGGGAGACCAGTTAGGAGATGGTTGCAATGAACCAGATGTGGAGAGGTCAGGGGCTGAGCTGGGACACTTGCTCCTGAGGTAGAATGAAGGAATAGATCCTTTTTATTACAGGAAGCAGAATGGGGG